GGTCCAAGCAAGAACATCTGCTGGACTACATAGTGACGGACCAGCGAATGCGAGCCCATGTCCTTGACACCAGGACCTACCGTGGAGCTGATCTGCCCTCTGACCATCGACTAGTCATCTGTAAGATGCGCCTGCCATTCTTCCACTCCGGTGGTGGGTGTACACCCAGGACCCCATTCCAACCTAAAGTGGCCTGGTCTCAGTTATCTGATGAAAGTTGCAAGCGAGAATTTCATCATCGCTTGCGGCTGGGATTGGCATCGTCCCCGACTCCGCCTGATGTCGAGGGTAAATGGGCGAGGTTTAGGACTGTGACTCATGCAGCTGCAATGGCTGCCTTGGGTACGCGGTCCAGACCTCCCCAGACACCCTGGATGACAGAGGAGTTGTTCAGGATGGTTGAGAAAAAGCGACAGGCCCACTGTCATCGGCTACAGAATCCCACGTCAGAGAATGAGGAGGCTTACCGCAGCCTTCGCTCGGAGGTAAGGAGAGCCGTGAGGCGCTGCAAGGATGGGTGGTGGTCGCGGGTTGCTGAGGAGATGGAGTCTGCCTCAGTGGCCCGTGATCACAAATCTCTATTTAACTCCATCAAAAAAGTAACCTGCAGCGCCACACCTATTACCATCATTAGGGGAAAAAACGGTAATCCAATTTCCGACCCCCAGGAACAGGTTCGCAGATTTGCTGAGCATTTCTGTGAGGTCCTGGGGGAGGGAAAATCCCTCAGCCAGGAAAACACCGTGGCACAAAGTGAGGATGACCCTGCTGAGGCTGCGGTGCCTCAAATATTGGATGAAGTCACCCCCTGTGAGTGGCTGGCTGAGGTGCCATCTGCTGAGGAAGTATTGAAGGCGATCCGGAGTCTGAGACCAGGAAAGGCAGCGGGCAGAGATGATCTCCCAAGCGAAATGCTGAGGGAGGGTGGCGTTTGTGCACAGACTGCCCTATATGACATCATAACAACAGTCTGGACCACTGGACGGGTTCCGCAGGATTGGAAGGATGCCCTGGTGGTCCCCCTTTTTAAGAAGGGGGACCGCACAGACTGTAACAACTACAGGGGCATCTCACTCCTCAGTGTGCCGGGAAAGGTCCTGGCAAGGATTATTCAGCATCGCCTTGCCAGGCACGCTGAGGAGAGGCTTGCGGAGCCCCAATGCGGTTTCAGGAAAGGGCGGTCCTGCACAGATGCCATATTTTCTGTCCGTCTGCTACAGCAGAGGTGTAGGGAATTCCAACAAGACCTACATCTCTGCTTTATTGACCTGGTCAAGGCCTATGATACCATCAGTAGGCCTGGGCTCTGGGTCGTTCTTCGTGCTTTTGGAGTACCTGACCCTCTGTTCACGATCATTAAGGACCTTCATGATGGTGAGCGGGCCCGGGTAAAACTACGTGGCCGGGAGTCAGAGCCATTCCCTGTACACCTTGGGGTGCGACAGGGATGTCCTCTGGCTCCCACATTATTTAACATCTATTTTGACCACGTAGTTCGTGAAGCCTTCAATAGCTGTACCGGGGGAATCTCCATATGGTACAGATATAATGGGAGGCTAATCGATGCCCGGGTGCGGTCAAGGGATGGCTCCCTATTGCTCAACCACGTTATGTATGCTGATGACTTGGTAATAGCTGCTCAGTCAGAGGAGGAGTTGGAGACGCTGCTGCTGAGACTGGAGCGTGCCACTAAGAGGTGGGGCCTTACCATCAGCCCCACCAAAACTAAGCACCTGCCTGGGTATTTTGTACCATCGGACACTCCACCCCCACAACTCCCAATCGGTGATGGGGCAGTTGTGGAGAGAGTGGAGAGTTTCCCATACCTGGGCAGTGTGCTTATGACTGGCTCCAGTTTAACAGCAGAGGTCTCACTCCGAATCAGTCGAGCGGCAATATCTTTTCATCGGTTGCGTAACGCTCTGTGGAAGCTACCTGGTCTGTCGCTCCGCACTAAGCTTCAGGTCTTCTCGGCCACGGTCATTCCCTCCCTTCTCTACGCTTGCGAAACGTGGACCCCCCCTAATGGAACATCTTCGCCGGTTAGAAACATTTAGGCTGGCCTGCCTACGATCCATCCTGGGTTTAACCAGACTGGATTGTGTGAGGAGCTCACAAATCCTTGAAAGATCTGGGCAAGGTCCCATCGGTGAGCTCCTCCGGCAGGCAAGGCTGCGATGGCAGGGTCATGTAGCCCGCATGCCCAGCCACCGCATGCCGAAACAACTTTTGTTTGGCCGGATTGAGGGGGCTAAGTGGGCGCGGCATGGGCTAGAGAAGAGATGGAGTGATGTGGTACAGGAGGACGTGGAGCTGAGTGGACTTGCCGATGACTGGTACCAGCGGTGTCAAGATCGGCCTCTGTGGAGGAGGCTCGTGAAGGATGCTACTGGGCAGTTGGAGGCAGTCGCCCTCCAACAACAACGGAGGGCGGAGGAGCGACGCTCACAACAGCGAGCGGAGCGCCGGGTGGCTAAAGCACAGCAGGTTGGCACAGTAGGGGGCACAGGTGGTGCATCAACCGGTCATCTCAGTCAGTCGACCCGTGGCACCTGGGTCTGCCCCGTGACCTCCTGCCAGCGGGCGTTCGACACTTCACGTGGCCTCAGGGTGCACATAGCCTGGCACAAGCATCGTGGTGACGTCACCGCCACTTAGTGGCGAATGGCGGTTGTTGTTGTTTGTGTGTAGACGTGTGTGTGTGTGTGTGTACACGTGTGTGTGTGTGTGTAGATGTGTGTGTGGTTGCATGTAGAAGCGTGCGTGTGTTCACTGGTCGTGCAATGCTTTGACCTCAGGAACTCGACCGTCAGAATTCTGGGTCACCACCCACTCCGAGATTCCATTCGCGTCGTCTCGTCCCCCCATCTCGTCGCTACTCGCTACTTCCATCTCGTCTACACTTTGTTTGCTCTTGTAGCTTCGCAAATCGTTTGCATATCATTTGCATATCATTTGCATACACACAACAAATGCCCCGCTAAAATTCTTAGGCTCGCTCGACTCAACACGTGCATCGTGATCATGGGAATCAATGGATCGATTGGTAAACACTGGCAACTAATGTATCCATGGTGGTGCCGCCACCACCACGGAACGGGCGGTAGAAACGAGGATGTGATGTGTGGTAGGGAGGAGAAAGAATGAGGAATGGGGAAAAGAGGGAACGGAATGGAGAAATACGAGGAAAAGGATGGGAAAATGAAGGCAGGGACGGGAGCAAAAGATTCAGGAGAGATGAGGAGGCTACATCAGGGCCTAGACGCTGCTGCATGGGGAAGTAGCGGCGTCTGTTCTCACAGGGGGCAGGGCAGAGGGGAGGGATTCAGAGTGGGGGTGGCCACACACAGAAGTCACGTCGTTTACGGGAGGCTTGAGCTGGTTTAGAGAGAGACACACAGATGAGAGAGGAGGGATTCAAAGTCACGTGGTTTACGGGAAGCTTGCACGCACGCGCGCCTGTGTGTGTGTGAGAGGAGACAGAGAAAAAGCCCGATGGATTCCTAGCTTCCTCACTGGATAAATGGACAGGTGGACAGTTTAGTTCGATACACAGAGAACGTACCGAGGCGTATTGCACGGCTTGTTCTGTACAGGGAGTTTGGTTCTGTGGCTGACAACGCTGTATATATAATATAGAACGCGCTGCTGTATAACACTCAACGCGCTGTTGTATAATAAACCCACACGGGCACCCTGCTCTCGGCTCCCATGGCAATTGGAGACTCGTGGGGTTCAGAGCTCTCTCATCGCCGAGCGGTGGCGCGGTCTGCCACTTGAAGGCAGAGAGGTTCGCGGTTCAAGTCCAGCGGGCCGGCCCCGATGAATACTGCAGTTGTGTAATTATCATAATAATAATAATACGACTACTACACGCCGTCTGCTTCACTCAAAGTCCCCCCCCCCCCCCCCCCCCACCCCGGACGTCATTCACAAGAGTGGGCCACGGTGTGCCAGTGGCAGGATTTTAAAATGTTCCAATTTCGAATGTAACCCTGCAACATGACTCAATGGGGGGGGGGGGATTACACACACAGCGGACGCAATCATCGCCCCCTACTGGCAAGATAATGCCCCGAGTCACTCTCTTGCGAACGAGACTAAATCCTGGCCACGTGAGTTCTCACCGTAGCTGAACGAAAGCAAACTTGAATCATGACGAAGGAAAACCCCAGATGGGAATAGAGTCAAGAGCCTGTAGGGACACTCCAACGGCCCAGCAAACAGCAGTGGTTTCAAAACACGGAGTGGATTCATGAGGTATGGCCACCGGAGCAGCGTTTGGCTGCTGCTGGGACGCACAGTGCGTACAGATTCTCATAAACGATAGCACAACCCGGCACAGAGTTCACACACGGTGAAACCTGAGCCTGTGCCCTTCTGGTTTTGGGCTCCGTAATCCGCAAAATAAGAACTCCGTGCCAGGTTGTGTGTCACGCCAGTTTCCCAATGTATTTGGCCAGGGCTTGGGTTAGTGGGGCTGAGGGGACATTGACCAATGGAGAGAGATTCCAGTTGAATTCTGACTTAATGGGATTTTTACTTATTCATAATTGATTTTTGGCTGAGGCTGCATCATGACTCGGACAAATTTGTGTCGGTAAGAATCCTCCACCGCCCGGCACGGTCAAAACATTTTTTTGTTTAATTGTCACGCAGTTTTACGAGCGTTCTAACAACGCGCCGATTGCTGTGGATGCTTCGGCTGAACTCGCTCGGTGAGTTAGGGAGCAAAATCCTCGCAGCCGAAATTGAGTGGCAATTAAGAATCAATGTCCTTTTTTGTCGATCGATGTTTAGGGTCAGGGTTTCGGGCTAATAGCATTAGTGGCATGTGCGGGGTAAGCTTGGGCCTAATCACATTGGAGCTATTTGCATGGCTAAATTATTCTCAGCTCAAAACCCCCCCATCCCCCCCCCCCCCAATGCCCCTAAGAAAACATCACCGATTGTAAATTGAAATCGGTTTTGGCATTTGTCAATAAATAATGAACATCCACTCTTTCAAGAGACCAAAAAAAAAACATGTATCGTATAAATGGATTGGACTCTTTGAACATCCTGACCGAGCATTGATCGCGAGGTATTCAATCAATTGTGAGCTCGCGATATTGGTCGCGTTTCACAGTTGAACCTCTCTCATTGGTCGATTCCACTCCACCCCACGTACTCCACACCCCCACCACACCCCCCACACCCCCCACACCCCCACCGATGCCCCCATTCCCTATGACTGGAATTCAGGTTGACTCGATGGGTTGGCCCACGCTAGGAGTTGCACCGCGAGAATCCCCTCGGGGTCGTCAGATCGACTCCGCCGTGGAAGTGGAAAGCCACGGGGGGTGGACTCCCAGCTCATGGCCGTCCCTCTCATGGTCTCTGCGTGTTTATGACCCTTGCAACTCTGCCTCTGCGAGAGTCGGGGATCGTTAAATAACATCGTCGCCACCATCATCGTGATTGTTGATCGCGCGCATGCTAAACGTTGGCCCAACTTTGGCCCAACGTTGGCATGTTTACCGAGCCTATGCAGGTAGATGCCAAATTTGAGCCGCAAAAATCATGATAATAAAATTCACAGTTATAACTGTAGGTGTGTGCGCGTTTCTCCGATGAGCACACGCGTACAACACGGGCGGTGGCATTCTGAGCACACGACTCACAATCAGAACGTCGCGAGTTATCATTCCCCAGCTGGGAATCAACTCATTCCATCATCATCCTCATCCCCCCAGGGTGGATAAAATCGGTAATGCTCTGTGGATTCATCCACCGCAGGGAACCTCACGACCCTCCGGCGTAGCGCTTCGCTGATCCGCCGCAGTTCGGATGGGGGGAGGGGTTGCGTATTCACTAAAACACGAGGAGCATAGCGGCCCCTAGTGGCTGCGGACGTCACACCAACTAACCCGCGGCGACGCCCGTGGTTCGAGCGAATCGATTTTTAGGGGGACTGCTCGTTGGAGAGACAGCTCGCTCTGATGGGTCTGCTGCTACCGCTGCCGATGATGACACTAATGACGTACGTACGTGTGTCGAACTTCTGCCGCACCGTACGTAGCCACCGGCGCCAATCAGAGGTGTGGGGGAAAGACAAATGATACTCGTGGTATTATCGACGATCACACTGATGGTGATGGTGATGTCGATGACGACGATTCTGATGATGATGTTAACAATGTTACTGATCTCCCCCCACCACCCCCCCCAGCCGTCCCCCTCATCGAGACGCCTCACAGGCCACGCGCGCACTCCTCTCGCTTGGAGCTGAAGTGGTCGAAGTGCGACTTCCAGTCCAGCATGTAGCCGCTCCAGCGGGAGAACTCCTCCTTCCACTGGCGCTCGGCCTCGTCCAGCGTGGCTGTGGGAAAAACACGCAAAGGCAAAGGTCCCCTCCCACACCCCGCGTAGCCTTTGATGGACTGTTGGACAAGTGCTGTTCGGCGAGTAGCACCTACAGGAGGCCCAAGACTGGTTCAGATAATCGTCACTGGTATTGGCCGTGAGCGGGAATCGAACTCAAGTTGCCGGGTTCGTAGCGCAGAGTGCTAACCAAAAGCGCTACCACTCCCCACACTCATGTACAAATACAATTATCCACCGTAAAGCCTAAACAGACTGTTGTGGCAAGTGCTGTTAGCGAGCACCTATGAGGGCCGGAACAGCACACGAGGGGGTGGGTGGCCAACACCACGCCTGGCAATAGCCTTTTTCTCCTGAGTCACGATGTTTACAGGCGCTCATTTGAGGACAGGACCAGGACCAGTTCAGATAATCGTTACTACTATTGGCCGTGAGGAGAATCGAATTGGTGTCACCGGATTCGTAGCACAGCACGCTAACCGCTACACTACCACTTCCCTCACACACACACGCACACAAAAATACAAAGATCCCCCGTATAGCCTTAACATACTGTTGGGGCAAGTGCTGTTAGCGAGTACCTATGAAGGCTGGAACGGCACACGAGGGGGTGGGTGGCCAGTACCACGCTCGGCCACCTTTGTCTCCCCAGTGGCGATGATTTTACACACCGCACCAGGTACTCATTTGAGGCTGAGTCGACCTAGGGGAGGCCCAGGACCAGTTCAGACAATCGTCACTGGTGTTGTCCGTGAGCGGGAATCGAACTCGAGCCGCTGGATTCATAGCACACTAACTCTCACACACACACATACGCGATCTAACCCAAAAACCTTTATTATGAATAATATTGGTCGCGAAAGCCTACGTGTTAAACTTTCACACACATATGCACACACGCACGTGTCCGCACCGGTGCTCTGCATCAGCTTGGGCATGAAGCGGTTCCAGAAGGCGCACTGCTGCGAGCGGAGCCCCGTCTGCACGCGCGCGGAGAACCCCCCCAGGGCCATGAACTGGGGGTTCTCCGCGGAGAAGGTGGGCCACTCCGTGCCCCCCAGTCCAGCCGGATTCCTGGGGGGCGCGGTGGGGGGAGGGGGGGAGGGCAGGCACACGCACCGAGAGACGCGGGGGATGTTTTGACGATCGCTGTGTGCCGGTTGTGTGTTACGCTGATGAACTGTGCATAACCCAACCGGTAGCATGTATTGCATATTTACAGGTTGGCGTAATAAATTGGACCAAATGTGAAGCATTAACCCCCCCCCCCCACCCCTCACTGGGATCTTTGTGCTTGTGGGTGAACAGCGATGGCATCACCTCACTGTTTAAGGCCGGAAACACGATTCTGGCAATCACCTGACGATGCTGGTTGTTGTAATCACCGGCGAAACAGCATTCACTCAAATTGTCAATGTTGTGGGTTTGCTCTCCAACACACCGGTGTGCTGAACTAGTAACCAATCGGCACATTTTGTTAACGTGACAAACCTCACTCATTGGCTGTGTTCGGGTGGAGGCGGCTTTTACGACACGTTTGACATTTACGCGATCTAACACGAAAATACTTTTGGTTACCATGAATAATATTGGTTGCGCAAGCCTACGTGTTAAATTCATCTGCGTCTGTTTGACGCATTGGGTTCTGAATCTGGTTGACAACAGGATGCGCCATTTCAAGCATGTGGACGCGTGCATTTTCACTCGTACGTCATATCTAAACGAGATGGGAAGAATTGAGTTAACACAGCCGGGCAGCAGTGCTGGTGGCTATGTTGCTGCACGTGTGGTTGCCTCGAATCCAGCTCCTGTGGAGGCAGCAGCAGCAGTGAGGGGTTGGTGGATCGCACACAGACGTTAAGAAACTCCCCTCCATGCGAGCGTCAATGAGGAGCCATACCCTGGCTCGTCAGAAGGTGGTTACAGAAAACTGTGGAATAGGAATATAATTTGTTCATTATGTAAGTGTTGCCCCCTCGGATGCGTATTTCCTCCCACGTGTATAAACACTCAGTAATTGGCTGCTAATATATTTAATATGTAGGGAACCGCAGAGCTTGGACAATTGGTAGCGCGAGCCCACCGCCTGGCTGGCTGGCTACTGCCTCCCGCTCGTCCATGGTTCTTCCTCCTGGTGCCTCTCTCTCTCTGTCGAGAGTGAGCCAGTACTGTGCGGTAGCCTTCGCATGCAGCCTTACAAGTTGCAATTATGATCATCGCCATCATTATTATTGTGGAGTTGGCATCACTTTGCGTACGCACCACGCATTACGAGCCGCAAAGTCACCCGCAAAACCTCTCATGCATCGCCTGCCCCCCCCCCCCTATTTAAAAACTAAAACAATTTTTTATTTTTTTTATTTTACCAAGTAAGGTCCACTGATCTGTTTCAGAACGCGACCCAGCCAACAAATGCTTGCTCGACGAAAGTGGCTGATCCATCACGTGGACATTTAAAATAGCAGTCAAATAGTCTAAACGCGTGATGTTGATTCTAAATGTGGAGGGAAAAACCGGAGGATCTAGAGAAAAATCCACATGACCACGGGGAGAACATGCAAACTCCAAATATACAGCAGGCGTCAAGGTCCGGATTGAACTCACAACCTCCTGCATACCAGGCGAGGTAGTTACCATCTCCTAGCCACCACGGCGTGCCACTACTCCGTTCCACCCGCACACCCCACGCGTCTCACCCGGTCTTGGCGAAGTTGGCCCAGTAGCGCATGATGTTTCGGCTGAGCGCAAGTTCGTCGGCCGTGTAGTTGAGGCCCTGGTCGACGGGCAGGCCAAACACGAACTCGATCTCGTAGCCGTGCAGGACGCCCATCCACTCGGGCCACGCCATGTTGGAGGCGCGGTGCTCGAAGCGGTACACGTAGACGGTGCCGCCACGGGCCGCGTGGATCCGGGCGGCCTCCTGCACGGGGCACACCACGTTCAGGTCGCCCACCATGGCGTCGAGCGCGTCGCGGTTCTTCACGCGGTCGTGCTCGTCGTTCCAGTCCGTGTACTGCAGCACGGCGGCATCGCGGCCCAGGTCGCTGATGTACGGCAGGCATATGTCGACCGCCTGCAGGAACTGCTCGCGTGTGATCAGGCTGTCGGCGTCCTTGCTGAAGCCCGGCACGTCGTAGACGAGGAAGAAGGAGCCCTCGTTGAGGTTGACGCCCACCAGCAGGTCCGTGTGGTTGAAGGCGCCGCGGTCGACCAGCGTGGACGGCGCCTCGGCGATGAAGTCGCCGTCCACCACCGGCACGAACGGGAAGCGGAAGACGCTCGTCACACCGATCACGCTCCATTCGTTGTCGATGATCTGCGCCACGGGGTTCGGCGTTGTCCATTAACGAGAATAACAACTACATTTTTACACGACGCCCCCTTTGTTGACAAAGCGCAACCAGCTGTGCGAGTTGATTTATTGTTGGTCAGATCGCCGTGTAGGTATCATGTCAATTGCTTCACTAGAATGTTCCACCACCAGTGGCAGAGCCGATCGCGTCTGTGGAGGCAGTGGCTAGGGTTGGTGGATCACACACAGATGGTTGTGAATCTCCCTTCCCGTGGGCGTCGAGGAGCCATACCCTAGCTCGCCCCCAGGCAGTACAGCAAAGTGTGGACTCATATCATCTGTCGCTTCTGTGTGGGATAAGAGCGTTGCTCCCTCGCACAAGGCGTGGGCTCTCTCTGGGTGCTCTGGTTTCAAACCCATTAATTGGCTGAAAACAACATCTTAAAAAAAATCTCATTTAGCGGTACCCTCCTCAAATAGAGTAATTGGATTCTCCTGCAAGATTAATTATTCTGTTTTGTGAGTGGTGATGAACAGCCATCCACCCATTGTGCGATCGCCGCTTTGCCAGAATAACAACACACTGCACGCACGCTCTCCGTGTCTGTACACGGGGCTTATTCTGTGTTGTCACACGCATTACAGCGTGATAGGATGGGGGGTGACCCCAGCGCCGACTGTGCACATGAGACCACCAGTGACTGATTCAAATGTGGATGCTCTTATCTTATCTCAACTGCATTTATATAGTACATTAACCAAGGCACCTAACAGATAATTAATAATGTAACATATTAATGTAATGGTGGAGATGAGGTGAATGAAATAGACGCGAGGAGGTGATGGAGGCAAATCTGTGATGTGTGAATTCAGTGAAAGCAAAGTTGATGACTGTAAACGATGATGAATGGATTGAATTAATGGGGAAAGGGAATATAAAGAGGGAAAAGTAACGGTGGTGGTTATGAGGGAGAGATTAAGGGGATCGTGGGGTGATCTCGGGAACAAGAAGTGAGTATTGAGTGAGGAGCGGAAACTAGTGAGCGAAGGCGACTGTTTAATGTGGAGGGGAAGTTTGTTCCAGTGAAGTGGGATGGGCAAGAAGAGAGAGAGAGAGAGAGCGACAGCGTGGATTGAGCACAAGGAGAAGGAGGAACAGAGAGGGAGAGACTACAACGACTGAGAAAGTAGAGGGCATGAAGGCGACGTAAAAAGATCTAAGATTGCAGATGGACCTCGCTTAGCGCTACCCCGCAGAACGCCGATTCGTTATCGCCGCTCTTTGTCCTTGAGAAAACTTTTTTACTCAAAAATAAATAACGAAGAAAATCCCAAAAATTATACAAAGCTCTTACGAGAAGAGGGAAACGCACCCAGCAGTCACTGCTGTTTTTGGCATTTGCTTGGCCAATGAGAGCGAAGCACGCTCGAGCCAACCAGCCAGCATGAGTTTAAAAAAAATTGAATCCATTTCGTTAGTCGGGCTGAGAACTCACACGAGACGAGGAAAGAGTCTCAGGCTCCACCTGAAAGAGATCTGGCTAGGATGAAGCCTGGTCTCCCCGCCCCTGCCACATGAGGGGAGTACAATAAAGTGCACCCCTCGCCACCCCCCTCCCCCTATGGGGATAGACAGGAGAGCAGTTCCTCACGAGCCACCGGGGTTTTCAGTAAACCTCACCCCCGCGGTTGGCGAGGGATTGCTGTGTAGTCAATCACAGCCCCGTGGGACTTTTGTCGACGATAAGTTCACTCGGCGCGTGTTGGTTCCCGCCTACCTGTGTCCCTCTCCCCTTGATGTTTACACACCACACCAAGTACTTATAAAAGGCTGAATCGGCCTAGAGGAGGACCAGGACCGGTTCAGATAATCGTCACTGGTGTGAGCGGGAGTCGAACTCGGGTTGCCGGGTTTGTAGCGCAGCGTAGCGCTAACCCCTACACTACCACTCCCCCTGAGCACTGTGCTCCAACAGTCTCTTGCTCGTAGTCCCCACGTGTGTGTGTGTGGGGTGACCCGAGTTCAATTTCCGCTCACGGCCAACACCAGTGACGATAATCTGAACTGGTCCTGGGCCTCAAATGAGTACCTGGTGTGGTGTGTAAACATCACCGGTCGGGAGGAAATGACGGCCAGGCATGTTGTTGACCACCCACCCCCTCGTGTGCCAGCCTTTATAGGAGTTCGCTAACAGCACTTGCTCCAACAGCCTGTTCAGCCTATACGGGAGATCTTTGTCTTTGTTTGTGGGGCATTGAGCCCAGTTCTCCTCCACCATCTTTGGGACCCGGGCCGTTAGTCTGCACAGTTTTTGCAACCCCCACACCTCCCCACACCTCGCCACCCCTCCCACGGTCCGTGCCTCGTGCCGGGTATCTTGGTGCGTTGCTTCACCCACTCGGTGGGGCACTGCGACCACTCCAGTCCCTTCTCAAAACTTGGGTGTATGGGGAGGGAGGGTTCACGACTTGTGTCCGCAGAGTTTCTGTACAACCGCCTCCCTACGTCGCAGTTTGCGCTCTGTACTGGGCTCCTATTTAAATATTATTTAAAGAAAAATCAATCGTGACGTTTATGGTTTTCATCATAACGTAAATATGAAATGTCGTTACACCACCACCCGACACAGCCAATGAGTAAGGCTTGTCACGTGAACAATTAGTTACTACTTCAACACACCGGTGTGTTGGAGAGTAAACCCACAATATCTCCAAATCTTAATAATGATGTCAACGTGTAATGCTGCCACCACAACATTTACAATTGACGTTTCGCTGGTAATGACACATCCAGCATCGTCGGTGGCCAGAACTAGGACAGAGTTCACATATATCCGGAGCGTATCTCCAGCGACCATACAAACCAGCTCCCCACAAACGCTGAACCGCCCCCCCCCCACCCCCCGCCCCTGCCCCCACCTGCTGCGGTGGGCACGCGTGCAGGCAGCGCACCAGCTCCGCGTCGTCCCCCGTGGGGCAGGAGAGGGCGGCGGCGAGCACCCGCGTCCTCCGGCGCGCCTCCTCGTCGCTGATCGTCACCCAGGGCGCATTGGGCGCGCCGCTCTGCAGGATGGCGCGCGTCACGTAGCGCCGGCTCCGCGGCGACAGCATGTGCAGCCCCACGGATGCGGCGCCGGCGCTCTCGCCGAACACCGTCACCGACGCCGGGTTGCCGCCGAACGCCTCCGCGTTCTCGTGCACCCAGCGCAGCGCCAGTTGCTGGTCGAAGAGGCCCGCGTTGCCCGGCGCCTCGGCGCTGCCGGGCAGAGCCAAGAAGCCGAGGGCGCCCACGCGGTAGTTCATGGAGACCACCACGACACCCTCGCTGTAGGCCAAGTACTTGCCATCGTAGACGTCTAGCGACAAGGTGCCGTAGAAGAAGCCGCCGCCGTAGATCCACACCATGACGCTGGCGTTGCGTGGGCGCGGCGAGGGCACCCAGATGGTGAGCATCAGGCAGTCCTCGCTCATGGGCGTGTTGGCGTTCCACATCTCGGTGCCCCAGAAGCCCGGGAAGGCCATGTCCACGTACTGGAAGCACGAGTGGGGCGGCTGCGTGGCGCGCAGGGTGCCGGGCCAAGGCTTGCGCGGCTCCGGGGGCAGGAAGCGGCGCTCGCCCTCCGGGGGTTCACCGTAGGGGATGCCCGAGAAGACGACGACGGAGCCGGTGAGGACGGGCGCGCGGCGGCCCATGACGCGGCCGGCGCGCGTCACCGCGAACAGCTCGCGGTCGTCGTGCTGCTGCTGGGATGCCGGGCACGGCGATGCGCACAGCAGCAGGAGCAGCAGCAGCGGCAGCAGGGGCAGCAGCGGCAGCAACGGCGGCGGCGTAAGAGACGGGGGAGGCATCGTGCAGGAGGATGAGGAGCGATGCGGAGAGGCTGCCGGGCCGACTCTTTGTTGGAGCGACACCGGGGCGGGGAGACGGTGGGATCGGTCGAACGTTGGGTTTTTGAGGAGGTTAGGTTCGATGGGATTGAGCTGCGTGAGGTTTGGCGAGGTTCGGTTTGGTATTTTTTGTGGAGATCAGGTTCGATGAAACGGTACTACAATTCACAGTGTTCACGTTCAAATTAAAATAACATAATATCTATATATGTGGTCAGATTATGAGATTCGTTCAAATAAATAGGACGAGAATTTGGTCAATAAAATTTAATTTGGTTCGAATGTGATTATACTTTGCTTTGAGGATAAAGCTGCTGCAATTTGGTTAAATTGCCTTCGCGCCGAAGCGAGAACGAGCGCGTTGCAAGCGTGCGGTCCGCAACAAAGCGCTCGCGTCCGCTCTGGCGCTCACGCGCACGCCCCGTTTGGCGGTCACAGGAGTATCGGACGACTTGTCAGGACGATCTCCTGGCCGTCACGAGCGGCGACACGAAGAGCCCTTCCCCGCCGCCCCACCCCGGCTCGCCGGCGTCGCCGCCGAGTGAAGCCTGTGGCGGCCTCGTGAGGCTGCAGACGCCAGCGGGCGACCACCCGAGCCTGCCCGGTCGCGTGTCCCCACAGCGGCGCAAGAGATCCGGGACGCCTCTCGAATGTTTTTGGTTCAGTTCCAGGCACGATGATGAACGTCTCGACTCCCAGTGTCGCGGCTTGCGGTCACCCGGGTCCTGCGCAACCACAGAGATGGGTGGGGGGGGGGTAAGGTGAGCATGGGGGAGGGGAGGGGAAGGAAAATGGTGAGGGAAGGTGACGAGAGACGACCGCTCGCCAGTAACACTGAGTGCACGTGCACTCACCCACTCACTCACTTAACCACACACTCACGAACCCACCCACTCCAAACCCACACAAAGACAAAATCACCCGCATACTCTTTGGTTCTTTTGGTAAAGTCACGCAAGTATAAAAAATAAAACAAAAAATAATATATCACGACGTTTCGATCGCAACGCAAGCGGTCATCCTCACACAGAAAAAATAATCCATCAGTGGAACTGCTGAACCAGCGAGAGAGCTGTTACAAGAAGAGGTTATTTATGTGGTGATGGGCAAGCAAGCGGGGTCTGAGCTGGAAAGGAATGCCATCCCCGCAAGCAAGCACGTCAGTTGTGTTAATGGGGGAGATTAGGGAAAGAGAGATTAGGGAGAGAGATTAGCATGAAATGAGCTTCCGTCGCCGCATTAGAGTATCATCCCCGCATATGCGCACAACAGCAGTGTTAATGGGAGATTAGCACTATGTTAATGGGAGAGATTAGGCAGGGAGATTAGGGGGATTAGTAAGTTAATGGTATGTCTATGTGTAACACAAGCTGCGGCGCTGCCAACGGCGCTGTGAGGCAAGCGCGTCGACGCAAGAGAACCACCGCATCGGTGGTCGCGCCAGTGAGACACACAGCCCATCACACAGCCAGAACCATTGGTACATCGAGGCTAAGGGAACAGAGGTGGCCATGTTAGTGAGACCCCAGCCCGTTAATGCAGAAGCCCCTAACAGGACAATGCAACTCAGAGAGTCGGAGATAACAGCCACATGGCAGGGAAGAATGGAAGCACCACAGCAATTTCCGACTTTGCTTTGTTAATAACGTCCTTCCAATGATTGCTCAGCTTATACCCATCTTCTCGGTTGAAATTGTCTCTGTGTTTATATATCTGGATGACTTCATCGACAAATCTTTGATAGTAGCCCGAAGGTTTGCAGAGTACCTTGTTCTCAGAAAAAACAATATCGTGCGAGCCCACTGCGTTATAACAATGATCAGCCACTGCAAAGGAATTAGTTCTGCCGTGTTTCAAATCTGCCTTGTGTTCGTGAACACGGTCCAAGACATGTCGTTTCGTTTCTGCAGACACAACTTAGTTTGTAGACACCAGGGTATTGCATGACAGGAATGACATCCTTCACAAATGGGATCAAATCACAGATTTTGTGTACTGTATTGAATCGGACCTGGATCTTGTTTGCTTAAGATTTTGGAAATCTTGTTGGTAACACCTGCTATGTAATGCAAGGTGATAGTTTTGATTGGGTCCTCACATGGTTGTCTCCCCATGGTTGGGGCTACAGCTTTGCGGATTGTGCGGTCTGAGTATCCATTCATATTGAGGGCTTGGTGTACGTGCTCCAGTTCACTGGCTAGATGGCACAGGTCGGAGATGTAGCGGGCCCTATGGTGTAGTGTTTTGATGGGGGAGTTTTTCTGGGCCGGATGGTGGTGGAAATCAGGCTTTAGATAGGAATCCGTATGGGTGGTTTTCCTGTAGACGGAATGTCCCAACGACCCATCAGGCCTCTTCTCGATCAAAACATCCAGGAATGGTACAGTGAGGGAAAAAAGTATTTGATCCCCTGCTGATTTTGTACGTTTGGCCACTGACAAAAAAATGATCAGTCTATAATTTTAATGGTAGGTTTATTTAAACAGTGAGAGACAGAATAACAACAAAAACATCCAGAAAAACGCATGTCAAAAATGTTATAAATTGATTTGCATTTTAATGAGGGAAATAAGTATTGGACCCCTCTGCAAAACATGACTTAGTACTTGATGGCAAAAGCCTTGTTGGCAATCACAGAGGTCAGACCTTTCTTGTAGTTGGCCACCAGGTTTGCACACATCTCAGGAGGGATTTTGTCCCACTCCTCTTTGAAGATCTTCTCCAAGTCATTAAGGTTTCAAGGCTGACGTTTGGCAACTCGAACCTTCAGCTCCTTCCACAGATTTTCTATGGGATTAAGGTCTGGAGACTGGCTAGGCCACTCCAGGACCTTAATGTGCTTCTTCTTGAGCCACTCCTTTGCTGCCTTGGCCGTGTGTTTTGGGTCATTGTCATGCTGGAATACCCATCCACGACCCATTTTCAATGCCCTGGCAGAGGGAAGGAGGTTCTCACCCAAGATTTGACGGTACATGGCCCTGTCCATCGTCCCTTTGATGCGGTGAAGTTGTCCTGTCCCCTTAGCAGAAAAACACCCCCAAAGCATAATGTTTCCACCTCCATGTTTGACAGTGGGGCTGGTGTTCTTGGGGTCATAGGCAGCATTCCTCCTCCTCCAAACACGGCGAGTTGAGTTGATGCCAAAGAGCTCCATTTTGGTCTCATCTGACCACAACACTTTCACCAAGTTGCCCTCTGAATCATTCAGATGTTCATTGGCAAACTTCAGACGGGCATGTATATGTGCTTTCTTGAGTAGGGGACCTCGCGGGCGCTGCAGGATTTCAGTCCTTCACGGCATAGTGTGTTACCAATTGTTTTCTTGGTGACTATGGTCCCAGCTGCCTTGAGATCATTGACAAGATCCTCCCGTGTTGTTCTGGGCTGATTCCTCACCGTTCTCATGATCATTGCAACTCCACCAGGTGAGATCTTGCATGGAGCCCCAGGCCGAGGGAGATTGACAGTTCTTTTTTGTTTCTTCCATTTACGAATAATCACACCAACTGTTGTCACCTTCTCACCAAGCTGCTTGGCAATGGTCTTGTAGCCCATTCCAGCCTTGTGTAGGTCTACAATCTTGTCCCTGACATCCTTGGAGAGCTCTTTGGTCTTGGCCATGGTGGAGAGTTTGGAATCTGATTGATTGATTGCTTCTGTGGACAGGTGTCTTTTATACAGGTAACAAGCTGAGATTAGGAGCACTCCCTTTAAGAGTGTGCTCCTAATCTCAGCTCATTACCTGTATAAAAGACACCTGGGAGCCAGAAATCTTTCTGATTGAGAGGAGGTCAAATACTTATTTCCCTCATTAAATGCAAATCAATTTATAACATTTTTGACATGCGTTTTTCCGGATTTTTTTGTTGTTATTCTGTCTCTCACTGTTCAAATAAACCTACATTAAAATTATAGACTGATCATTTCTTTGTCAGTGGGCAAACGTACAAAATCAGCAGGGGATCAAATACTTTTTTCCCTCACTGTAGCTTGCCATCATTTTACACTTCCATGGTGAATTTGATGGATGGGTTTATGGAATTGATGTGGTTGAAAAAATGGTTCAGTGCTGGCTGGCCATGTGGCCAGATGATGAAAGTGTCATCTACGTATCTCTTCTACAGGGAAGGACGTAGCGTGGATGTCAAGATGGCATCTGTTTCAAATTTATCCATGAAAAGATTCGCTACCACCGGTGATAAGGGAGAACCCATAGGGGTACCTTCATTTTGTTTGTAGAATGTACCATTCCAGATAAAGTATGTGGTGGTAAGGCAGTGCCTCACCAAAGTTGGTACATCGGGATTCAGTCCCTGTTGGACCAAGTATTCAGTGATTGCTATGGTGTCAGGTACAGGTACGTTGGTGAACAGATACGCTACATCGAAGCTGACAAGCAAATAATATGGAGACAGTGAAATGTCCTTGATTAGAGAAACCAAGTGAGCTGAATTAAGTACTGCTGAGGTGGTCTTGCCCGTGAATGGAAGCAGGGTTTTAGACAGAAATTGGGCCAGTTTGTAGGTAGCTGAGTTGATGGTAGAAACGATAGGATGGAGTAGAGTACCTTCTTTATGGATTTTTGGAAGACCATAAAATCTGGGTGGTCTAGCAGCCAAAGGTTTTCGAGAGAGCTGCTTTTTCAATTCGATTAGAGAAGTCGAATTAGTGATGTTGTTTTTAGTAGCCAGGCGGTTGGTAGGATCTTTGTTGATTTTATTAAAACTGCCATCATTAAGAAGGCAGATTTGAAACACGGCAGAACCAATACCTCTGCAGTGGCTGATCATTGTTATAATGCAGTGGGTTCGCACGATATTGTTTTAACCGAGACCAAGGTACTCTGCAAACCTTCGGGCTACTATCAAAGAAGTATCCATGAAGCTATCCAGATATATACACACTGAGACAATTTCAACCGAGAAGATGGGTATAAGCTGAGCAATCATTGGAAGGACGTTAATAACAAAGCAAAGTCGTAAATTGCCTTGGTGCTTCCATTCTTCCCTGCCATTTGGCTGTTATCTCTGACTTTGAGTTGCATTACCCTGTTAGGTGCCTCTGCATTAACGGGCTGGGGTCTCACTAACATGGCCAACTCTGTTCCCTTAGCCTCGATGTACCGATGGTTCTGGCTGTGTGATGGGCTTTGTGTCTCACTGACGCCACCACCATTGCGGTGGTTCCCTTGCGTGGACGCGCTTGCCTCTCACAGCGCAGTTGTCAGCGCCGCAGCTTGTGTTACACATAGATATGACATTAACTTACTAATCCCCCTAATCTCCCTGCCTAATCTCTCCTATTAACATAGTGCTAATCTCCCATTAACACTGCTGTTGTGCGCATATGCGGGGATGATACTCTTATGCGCGATGGAAGCTCATTTCATGCTAATCTCTCTCCCTAATCTCTTTTTTCTTAATCTACCCCATTAACACAACTGACGTGCTTGCGTCCGGGGATGGAATTCCTTTCCAGCTCAGACCCCGCTTGCTTGCCCATCGCCACATAAATAACCTCTTGTTGTAACTGCTCTGTCCGCCTGAGGACGACTGCTTGTCTTGCGATTGAAACGTCGTGATATATTATTTTTTGTTTTATTTTCATACCTATGTCCCGAAAGCTTAAAATCAAGATCACCCGTATAGCCTGAACCTATGATGGCCAGCACGGCACACAAGTGGCCAGCACCACGTCTGACCGCCTTCGCCACCTGAGTGGCAAT